AGTAATAACAGCAACAACAATAAATAATAACACATCAGTGATGCTATGTTTCTCCCCACAAAATCCTCATTGCTGTTGACAGAAACAAAAGCTCAAAGAGACAACATTTTCACATGATGGAACCTATCTGAAAGTTTCTTTCACCAATTATAGTCTCTTGTATTTCACCATAAGGATAACAACTTTCATGGTCACACCCAGAACTCTGAATAAGAAACTAGTACTCCTGGCTCTCATTCCCAAGATGACATAACAGTTAGGATGCCATAATCTAAAACATTTCCTAAGAATAAATACACAGGCAGTATTCTACTAACATTTCCAACAAAAAAGCTCAGTAATTGAATTGCAAATTCTTGCCGAGTATGTAAAAAACCCCGTAATAATTCACTGACCCATAAAGCAAGTTATCTTTTCAGGTACAGACAGAAATAACACCGCTTTCCCTAGTCTGCATATAACCTCAGTGCCTCGGCAGATGCCACAACTTTGAGAGGTGGCTACTTAGGCAAAGCTGACCCAGACATCACTTAATTAATAGTATTCAGGGTACTTAGGAGAGCAGTGAAGGTGATAGGAACCTACAAGCCCTGAAGCAAAGGCGGGCACAGTGGTATCAGAGAGAACAGAGGCAAAGCAGGAGGGAAGGACAACAGGAGTTGGTCGGTTCTCTGACCTGACAGATACCAAGCAGCAGCCAGAGGCCCGGGCAAGCAGAAAGCGCTGCAGGAACCAAAGTTTGCCAGGACATGGGGAATATTCTCTTTTCCCGCCCAGGAGCCAAACTACGGCTGTAAAGGGCCCCTGCATGTGCAGAGGCCCAGACTTATGACAGGTTTTAGGAAAGCACTAACAGGAATGAGTAGGGTTGTGTGGAGTGCGTAGCAAGCACAAGGGTCTCAGCTTCACTCACGATTCCCTGCAGCCTCTGACTGGTTGTGAAGATTAAAACCAAACAAACAAAACATACAGAGAAGAAAATTAAGTGACAAGCAACAGATAAGGATCTCCACCGTGTACCTATGATTCAGCATGAACATCCCTGACATCCTACAACTAATTTGCACTATTTAAAGACTGCATTCTGCTTGTGTAACAAGAAATCTAAGTTGCTGTTCTGACCTGAGGCAGCAGTACAGTTACATAAAGCCCCTGTCCTGTTTCACTGATTCTAAAACCCAAGCTATACTCCACAATTTCAAAAAAAAGTACCACCACACTTCTTGCTAATTTTAAAATAAATTTACCTCCCCAATTCTGCTAGCAATATTGGCAAGTCCTCTGGAGTACAGACAAGCCTGAAGGTTGTCACACGCAGCACATGCAGTTTGCCAGTATAATGTTACACAATCCCACATAGAATTGGGTTTGTAAATTAAAACTGGCAAGCATGGCTTTGCACCACAGTTTCCTGCTTTCTACATTTTCATCTGCTATCAGCAAAATCTAACTGTCTCAGATGCTGTCACACTCACAAACACAGTTTTACACTGCAGAGCATGGTTAGACAAGGAATTTATTAAAATAAGACCAGAAAAAAATCAAAAGCCTGTCTCTTAATGGTATTTTAAAAAAACCCTAATATACTACACATCATCCACATTCCCTTTATTTTCTGGTTCTAAAAGTAAGGATTTTGGATTTCAAGTTGACGTTTTCAAGCTAGAAAGATATCGAAGACCAACTTTATGCCATGCAAATGAACTACACTGCAATCACAGCTGCTATCTCCTCTTTTTCAGCTAAAAAACTGAGGAGTAAAACAGACAACCAGGAACAGTACGTAATTCTCCACTCATACTTCTGTTTCTCTACTGAAAAACTGAAAGAAAAAAGACAACAACCAGATACGCATTTCATACATTTCTTACGATAAATTCAGCATCACTATCTCTAACAAAAGTAGATATCTACAAAGACCCACAGAAGTAAATTAGATCTTAAAGACAGACCAAAGAATTTTCTCATATTTAGACAAACTTCTCCCACAAAATATTCCAAGTGACCATAGCTGCAGACTAATAGGCAGTGAAAACGGAAAGAGAAAAGACATTTCAAATACCTTTTCTGTTACACCTTGCATATTGAATTGCAGAGCATAAGAAGGGTATGAATCTGTGTTTTTTCGTGTCTGTATGTATAAAAATATATAAAATTCAGAGCAGTTGTTTTGCAGATTCAAGAACAGGAAGCACCTCTGATACAACTTCACAGTGAAAGTCCCCTGAAAAAAATAGCTGCACATGTACTGCATACATATCATTGCTACCTCCCCTTTCCTCTTTCTTTCTCACATCTGTCTCCAGACAACTCTTCAGTGGTCTCCTAATTTGCATTTATTCTGTGAAATTTAAAACCGCTTTTGCTACAGGCAACTCCAAATGTCTTTTCCACATCACAACCTAGTACTCCCTTGAAATTCTTTTTTTTATTTTCTTAAGTAACACTTTGTATTAATGCCTTTTCATAAACATTCCAATATATTGCATTTCCCTAATTTTTCCATTTCTGATTTGTACATCTTTTCTTCCAAACTCTTTTCTCTGCAAACTGCACTTCCAGAATTTATGCACACGTGCTAACCGAGACCACTCAGGCCTCTTTACTGTGTTAATTCAGTGGTTTCAATTCAGCCCAAACATTCAATTTTTGCAAAACCCAACAGGTTCTTTGGAATGTTGTCATGAATTTATTCAAAAGAAAATCAAATCACAGGAAGGAAAAGCTATTTTCCATAAGAAATTATTCCCTCCACTTGAAGGTAGAATGCAAAGTACCTCAAGAATTTCATCAGTTATTTTTACCGCTGAATAACTTCCTCAAGTAACTATTCTTACAACCAATTCTGATAAGGAATGGGAATTTGGAGTTGCATTCGGCTCCACCATTCATCTGTAGCATCCCTTTTTGCCTGCCTCCCAATTACCTTGCTGACACAACAGAATAGCAATGGGGCATGAATTGATTGCTGGTGAGCTCGACTTTGCATGCACTTGTTAAAATATTTTCTATAACTGAAAGTTTACAATTACTTATAATCTCAGTGGACAGAATGATTACACTCAACAAGCTTTCTAATGGGACTGCTGTTACGTTTGACTATAGCCCTCCAGATACAAGGAGCTTTACACAAGAAAAACTGAAGAAAAATAAAGGTTTTCACTCAAGATATTCATAAACTAACTATACTTTAAGAAAGTTTGTACCTTCCACTCCATGTTACCTAATTAGAGAGGGAATGCTCAACTATGAAAAACATTTGACTTTGCATTCAAGCTGAGAATGAGGAAGAATTTAATGCGGTTTTTAGTTCTGTAGAGAACAGCCCTGGATGCCGATTTAAAAAAAAAAAAAAAAAAAAAAAAAGCTGGGGGGGGGAGAGCAAAGAGCAGGTAGTGATATTTTATGAGAACACAAAATCCAAAACATTTATTGTTGGTTTAGAACTTCCTATTGAGAAAAAGCTATTTATTTTTCAATTATATGACAGGATGCCACAGTTTGAAGTCATTTTGGAAAGAAGAGGCCTTAAAAATTAGCTACTAAGGGGGAGAACTTGCAAACCTTCATACTTAGATTATGATATTTTCTTAAGAGAAATTCATAGGCCGCATTTATTTAGGACACTAAATCCAACACCTCCTAAAATCAGCAGCAGATTTCAAATATCAGCCAGGAGAAAGCTTAGAGGAAGTCTGCTTTTGTCCCACAGAACTTCACAGTTCATCAGAGTCCAAGCAGAAAAATATTATCAATACACAATGAGTCCCAAAATAGTTTCTTCCCCCACCCCAGAGTGTGGATTTTCAGAGGTTAACAAGAAACAGGGTATCCATTTTCCTCCTTCACTCCCTTTCATCTCATTGAGGCTGTTACTTCCTCCTAATCATTGCCGCCTGACAGACACAGAGCTGTTCTTTCTTTTTGGCAATAACAACAAGGATTAGGATGCAAGTATGTTTGCCCCCACAGGAACACCTGAGGCTCCCATGTTCCATCCCCGCCCCCCACTACGGGCTTGGTAAGTTTGCCATTGAACCACTTCCCAAATTACCTCGACATATGCAGTGTTACTGAAGCAAAATGAAAAAACTTCATTATGTGCGTATGTCTAAACACAGAACAGGCTCACACAGTTAGAAGAAGGAAAAAAAAGATACTTATATCCTTGGAAAGGGGAAAGTCCCAAAGATCCTCTGAAGCTGTAGTAACAGATTAACGTAAAACCTATTTATGTAATTTATTGTAGTTCTTGCTCTCTTTTCCATAGTGGAGAGACAAGTTTATGGAGGTTTATAGAAACTAACAGCCTAGGTCTGCAATGACAAATCAAGGAGGCCCAGAGGTACTAACAGCTAGTCTCATATGTGCAGACATACGCTCACACACAGATGCCCAGTGAAAAAGATACATATTTCTAAAACTTTTAATGGCTTTCCTAACACCAGTATTACTGCAAGTTATTTGGTACACTACATGAAATATAAAGTAATGATTTTTTTTTTCTTTTTTTAAGTCTTTATAGGCAACTGTTTGGAAAAATCCACTTTAATTATTCTCAACTAGTTTAGCCAGGAATAAGTAAGTATTCACAAAAAGCTTCTATAAAACCTAAGAAAGCACTCTGGAGAAGAAGCAGCAGTTCCAGAAAAGAGAAAATATTGCAAATGCCGTGACATACAAGGTGTTCTAATATAAGCACTTTGTTCCCAGATCACACAGTCAAACATAATCACTGAACAGCAGAGAAACGTAGGGGTAGGTACTTTTATTTTCAGGATATGAAAACTACATTGTCTTTGCAAAGAAAGTAATCTTTTCTTTGTAACATAGCCTCAATAGAACATTGTATTGCAACATATTATGGTTTTGGGTATAAGAAATATTATGATATAAAGGGTGATATTTAGCCTAAACAGCACAGTACACAAAACGTATACACACAACACAAGAACAGTTCCACTTTGTACTCACTCTTACAAAGTTGTCAGGGAACAAACCTCTTCTGCCTTTGAGCTGTCCTTCCCACCAGCCTCCATCATCTTTCTTGATATTGGTGATTATGTCACCTACAGTGATCGTCAGCTCATCATCATGTTGAGCTTTGTAGTCAAACTCCACTATCGCCTCCACTAAAAGAGAAACACACATATGCATAATTATTGACTACATTTAAGTTTCCATGCCTTTGAAAGGAATAAGAAAACACCACTCCAATTATATATTCTCACTGAAAGTACTACATTCAGCTTAACCAAGAGAGCACACAAATAGGCAACAGGTAGGTAACATTTTGTGGGTAACTGCTACAAGAGAGGCCAAAGTAAAAAAACCACAGGAAT